CTCTTCACAGATAGATGTTATGATATTTTCACAGGCCCACTTGGCACGAGTTCAAAAGAAAGCCAACGGTGCTACTTTTTGCTCTAAGTGGCTACCATAGTCCATTACTCTTTTTTTTTTGTTTTTGGTGGTGCGGCCTGTAGGATCTTAGTTCCCTGACCAGGGATCGAACCCATGCCTCCTGCAGAGTCTTAACCATTGGACCACCAGGGAAGTTCCCATAGTCCATTACTCTTTTTTTTTTTAATTCATTTTTATTGGAGTATCATTGCTTTACAATGTTGTGTTAGCCTCTGCTGTATGGCAAAGCATTACTCTTTATGTTTTGTGTACTTAAGAATAACCAAACATTGGTAAAAGGATATCAGAGGAGTATACCTGTTTTAATGAAAGACAAAATGACAGAAATTTATATTTCAATGGTCTATTATACAAACTAGTTCTTAAAGTGTCTAAGGTACTTTTCTCAATGGATAAATCATCATAAGTAACAATACAAATGGGCATTCCCTGGCGGTTCAGTGGTTAGGACTCCACGCTTCCACTGCCGGGGCCTAGGTTCGATCCCTGGTGGGGGAACTAAGATACTGCAAGCCTTGAGACGAGGCAAAAACAAAAAAGCAAACAACAAAAAAACCAATACAAATAAATAAAACACCCCTACTATGTTTAGTATAATATATTTTTTTAAAGAAAATATAAAGAAGCAAAGTAATCCTCAAAACACCCATTTCATTAATATTATAATGAATTAATTACATGTTTATAGAAATAATACTAACATAATATAGAATCTGAATTGAGATTTTACTGTCATTTATTTCTATGAGTCTCAGATTGTCACCTGACCCAGGCAGTAGTAGACAATGGGACATCTTTTTAAGGTTAGCAGGTTATATGGTACTGTGTGGTCCTGGTGGAGTGTGGGGAAGAAATGGAGGCACTTTCTAGAAAAATATTTGCCTTTCGTGGAGCAGGGAGGCAAGGAAGATTCGTGTGTCTGTATACACCCTGCTTCTCTAATATTTTAGGGTACTGTCTCTGCTGAGAGGGAATGATATGGCTCTGGGTAAGAAAGTTGTACTCTTAACCTGTATAAGAAAACAGAATTTCTCTGGAAAATAGCACTGAAACAAAACAAAAAAAACCCCCACAGTCAATTCCCCCACTCTCCCATCAAGTCCTCTTTCTTCCTGAAGTGACCGACCAAATGTCAATAACACTCATCAGTTACTTAAGTCATATATCTCTAATTAAGAAAGCGCCATTGATGACCGTATATATAGCTTGATTGTTCTTGCTAATGTTGTGCCTTTAGGGAGCAAATTCTCTATTAATATGTTCTCTCCTCTTTAGCAAATTGTAATTTCCATTTGAATCGTGCATTTCTCTCTTTTACCAGGACTCTCAGTTTAGCTTTCAAGTAGGAAATGTCTATTTTTTTCTTTTAGTGAAAAAAATACCATGCTAACTTGTTTTTGTTGATCAAATGATATGTATTATTGTGTTCAAATACTGCTGTGTTAAAATTATGTTCCAAATTACCTTTTAAAATATATGGAGACTTGGCCACATGTTGACCTTGGAATTTGACTTCTATTTTCAGATTTGTGTAGCTCGCATACATTCTGTATCTTACTATGAAGGACCCATCCTTTCGGTCTAAAATCTGGACGCCCACTCTAGTGAATTGCTCATCTGGGGCTGAGATTTCAATCTGGAACACCTTTTCACCCGGAGAAGATGTGAATCTGTGATGGGAAGAACAATGAGATACAAAGATTATTTTAAGAAACAACTGTGCAAAGATTATGTTCTCTAGCCTGTGAACCTTCCTATTCTCCTCCACATTCTCCCCTTAACATATGCTTGTTTCCTTTTCCTTATGCTTTTAGTACCAGAATGAACAGGATGGATCAGAGAGGAAAAAAAGAAGAGGATTACAATGGCCAAGATAACATAAAACAGTTTTATTAGAAAACTGCAAGGAGATATGTTGACTACTAATTTATGTAAACGTAGAACATACTCATGCATTTCATATATAAGAATAGTCTTATCAACCTACTATTTATTTCATGCCCATCTGGAAATTTGTGATGAAATGGTGCCTCTAAAGATAATGATTTTCTGAAAAATCTCTCTCAAAGATTTTTTTAAAGAATCAGTATTATACATCATGCTCAGCCACGGGCAAAAGCTAGTAGGTAGTATATCACCCAAGTGACATTGTACAAAAGTTTTTTTTGGAGTGAGTGTTCTGGCTGTTACGATTAAGATGGTATTTAGTTTCCCCGATCGTACTATTTATAGACAAGTGACAAAATTTATAACTCTCCTTTTCTTTGGGAAACTTCTTAGTCCCAAGATTTTCTTGCCTACAAAATACACACAGTCAGCATGCATCAATTTAAAAAAAAAGACAATCATTTCAGAAGTAAGTGAATTCTACAAATAAATTTTAAGTATACTTTTAACCGTTGAATTCAGTGGAACGAAATAAAGTTGTAACAAACATAGAAGATTCATATTTTGATATGTTCCCCCTCAACTCTAAAGTTTCAAATAGTGTTTTATTGTTCTTTTGAGTTTCAAAACGTGCTTACCTGCAGAGGTCCACCTGAAAACAGAGAAAGGTGCAACCAAGCAGTTTCTGACAACTGGGTTTAAATTCCTTATAACAGTTTATGCAAAAATAATTAGAAAGAGTACTTTCCGCAAAGTACAGGAGTTTGTTCCCCAGTCATGGGGAAATCCCTATCAAAATAGCCAGGAGAAGAGCTAATTCGAAATTATTTGTAAAGCTACAGAGAAAAATTGATTGGATGGGGGAACAGTTACCACCAGATGTGAATAGCACCCAAACGTCCTGGATTGTAAACTGCTGTGCAGAAACGAGTTCTTGGGCGGACAAAACTTAAGGGGTAAGCCAGTAAGTTTTAACTGCATTCCAAAATAGTCAGGGAGCCATTGCTCGACTTACTTATTTCCTGATATGTCCACCGCCTGGATGTAGAAATAGCGCGCGGGAAGGACCACAGCTGCTTTGAGCCCGGGTCCCCATATTTCGCTCTTCTCCGGGCTCAGTCGCCTCTCTCCGCCGGTCTCGGCCAGTGCTGGAACTGTCCCCAGAAAGAAGCAGTAAAGCAGCAAAGTGCTAAACATTTACAAGATGGACTCAAAATGATCCACAGATAAACGAAGTGGAAGAGGTGGACGGAACCAGCCGCGGCTCCGGCAGGGGCACGTCGGCCGATCGCAGCAGCAGACGCGGCTCCAAGTGGGGTCCTTTGCTGTGCTTGGCAGGCGCGTGTGTCTCCCCGGAAAGGTCACAACCGGGGCGCTGGCTTGTCCACCTGAAAGGTGCCAGTAGTTCTGCTGAAACGCGCAAGGACCACGCCGCTCCTCTTCCTCGGGATAATGACAAACTTGCGTTGCTTCTGTAACTGGAGCATCATTGAGGGCGAACGCGTCTCAGGTTCCAGCCCAAGGTGCACGGCGAGGGGATTGGCCCGCGCGTCCGCCCGGACTGAGTAAGGCCTCCTCCAAGTGGATGGCGCAGTGGACACGCGTCCCGGCGCCAGGGCTTCCTGGGACGTGTAGTTCGCGACAGGACTAGCGGAAATCCCGCCAGGTTTTACCATCTCTCACTTATTTACTTTGCCGTCAACGCTTTCAGGGGACAAATAAATAGTAGCTGCCCAGTAGAGGGGCACGTGGGCCTGGAGGCACAGCTAAGATTTTTAAAAAAATTGTCACTCTGTCCCCCGCACGTGCAGAGGGCAGGTATAAAACACGATGAAAGGAAGGTGTTGTCAATGATATCTGACGATCGGTCGCCTGGCACAGCCGTCAGGGCGCTGTCCCCGCGCGCTCCGATGGGACGAGAGACGCCAGCCCCAGGGTAACCGGAGGCGCGTCGCGGGCCGAGCGCTGGAAGCTGTGATCCGGGACCGGGTCCGGGCTCCGCTGCAGCCGCAGCGACCCGACCCCACCGGACAGGCCAGAGGTACATCGGGCTGTGGGCAGGGGCCGAGGTGGCCGCCGGCGACTGTGCGCTGTGCCCTCCGCCGGGCACTGGAGCGCCGCGGGCCAGGCCTGCCGCAGCCTACCTGCTCTCTGCGTCGCCAACGCAGCCTGCGCGCCGGGGGGCCCTGGCCTCTCCGGTGCCCGGTGGCCATACGAGTGGACGCCAGTGCGTGAGGACCCGTCCTCCGGGGAAGAAGTGGGGTGAAGAGCTGGGCCCCAGGGTGGCGGGAAGGGTCCGGGAGAGAAAGGACGAGTCCTCTCGGGAACAAAGCCCGATTTGGAGGGGCCGCGGGGATACCGGTGGCTCCCGCCCGGTGGCAGTCTCCACGCCACGCTCGGCAGGGCCCGGGACCGGAACGCGCGGCGGCCGTCCCCTTGCCCCTGCACGCCCGCCCGGGGCCAGCACGGTCGCAGGAGGGGTCACGGTCAGCTCCGAAATCGTACCGGGAGCCTCCTCCTTCCCTTCCCCCCTTCTCTCGACCTTTTCAGCTGCCTCCCCAAACTCTGATGGGCCGGTGGAACCGCCAGCCAAAGCGGGCCTGGGCCGGGGTTTTCTTTACTGTTTCCTTTTCGGCAATTGTCATTAGAAATGCTATCAACTAGTGCATTCAAAAGCTCGAATCGGGGGCTCCCTCTTCTCCCGGGAGCAGTGATCTGCCCGCGTCCCATTCTCCCACGGGCGCCCTGAGCACGCGAGCGTCCCCGAGCCCTCGGGCGGGTAGGAGGCTGATACCCCGCCGGCCTTTGCCTGCTCCCCGTCGCCGAGAACTCCGGCTTCCCGCCGGGCGGCGGGCGGGAGGAGGGGCCCGGAGGCCTCGCTGCGGGGACGCAGGGGCGCGCGGCCCTCGAAGGCGCCGGGACCACCGAGCGGCGCGGGCAGGGGGCGCAGTCGCGCTCCCTCCTCTTCGCCCGCGCCGCCTCCGCACACAGCGGCTCCGCGCGGCGGGGACGGGCCTGCGCGATTGTCGCCTCCATGCTGGGGGCCTCCAGGCGCCGCGAGCTTCGCAGAGAAGGGCGGAGGGCCCTCAGCTCGCCTGCCCGGGAGCTTGGGCTCGACGCTGGCCGGAGTGCGGGAAGACCCCCCGGTATCCTTCGGAGGCCGGCGCCTCTGCCTGGGAAGGGGCTCAGGTCTGACCGCGGAAGGGGCGTGGAGTGCGTGGGGAAGGGTCTGGAGGGGAAGGACCGAGATCCGACCTGCTGAAGCTTAGTGCGTCTGGCCCTCGGAAGAATATTATTCTCCTTAGTAATAGGTCAATAAGTAAGTCCTCCTTAGCAAGTCCTTACCTGCCCCTGCGTCTCAGCGGCCTTCCGTGCAGAATACAGATAATAGTTGTCATACGTGGAAGGCTTTACTGAAGAGACTTTTTAAGATGTTTAGTTCTCTAAGCAAACTTGATGCTTAAAAATAAGGATTTAAGAATCTAACCGGAAAAGAGAGTATAAACCAGGCCATGAACATTGGATTTACAAATGTTTATTTTACAGAGCAGTTCCTTCCAGGGACTTAAAAATCGTTACTCCAGCGGTGCATTTAAAGCTGGCCATTTTATAAAATTTCTTTTGCACAGAGTTAAACAGTACTTCTGTTGCTTGTGATATGATTTTATGAATAAATCATTAAGTCATTGAGCTTAGGTCCTGCAATCACTTTTATTAGTAAATCTTCCAACAGCATTACCTCGTTTACTGGATTAGGGAACCTCAGTTCTCACAGATGAGAGCCAGGAAGGAGAAAAAGAGTGCCCTTGGCTAGAACTCCGGCTCTTGATTGCTAAGGCCACTCCTGGTGGCCTCCTGAATCTAGGCTCCAAATCCCCGGCTTACAGTAATACCCAGCATGGTGCAGGGACTTAAGAATATCTGTTGATGAGACTTCTACAAATTGCCCTGGGGATACAGTACTCAGGAAAACCAGACTTGCAGGAGACAGACATTCATCATGTAAACACACTAACACACAAGGTAGAATTGCACCCTGGTAAGACCTGTGAACGAGGTACTGAGTCTGTACAGGGTGACCTGGCTTGGTTGGAGGAGCAAAGAAATCATCCCCCTAGAAAGTGACATTTGAGCTGACATCTGAAGGATAATGGGAATTAACTAAATAAAGGTGGGGAAGGAGTAGACAGCATTCAGAGAAAGGAAAGGTGGTCGATGGGGAGAAGAGAGTGAGGTGGAGGATAGACTGACTACATCTTATTTATCCAGTCATCTGTTGATGGACATTGGGTTGTTTCCATTTTTTAGCTATTCCGAGTAGTGCTGCTATGAACATTTTGTGGACATATGTCTTCATTTCTCTTAGATATATTCCTAGGAGTGAAATTGCTGGATCATATGGTAACTCTACGTATAATGTTTAAGGACCTGTTTTTCAAAGTTACTGGACCATTTTGCATTTCCACCAGCCGTGTATGAGGGTTCCAATTTCTCCACATCCTGTTTGATCCTTATTGTTAATCTGTTTGATTTGAGTCACCCTGGTCAATGTGAGGTGGTGTCTTATTGTGGTTTTGGTCTGCATTTCCATGATGGCTATTGATGCTAAACATCTTTTTATGTGCTTCTTGACTATTTCTACACCGTCTTTGGAGAAATGACTATTCAGATATTTTTCCCATCATTAAATTGAGTTACTTGTCTTTTTTATTATCCTAAAGCATCATTTAAAAATAATTTTTAACAAGACAGATGGTCAGTGATCATGACTGAAGCATATAGTAGTTGTAAAATAAATATTTATTGAATAAAGGCATATGAAACACTTAAAATATTTTTTAGTGTTTTTGTAGTGTCTAGTGGATTGTTGATCTTTCTTTCTCTTCCCTCTTTTCTTAGGAGCCCATTTGTGCAGCGCTCACGTTGTTGTAGAATGCTGTAAACAATTGTCACAGCTGTTTTTCAAGAAATAGAAAGAGTTGCAACCTCTTCCTCATAACAGAACTTTTATAGTTGCATTCAATGCCTAACGTTGCAGAAGCAGAAAGGACAAATGATTCTGGAAATGGTGAGTGCAAATCTGAGAGACGGTCTCCTGAAGAGAATCTACAAGGTGCCGTACAACCTTTCTGCACTCGTGCCTCGGGAGAACCCTTGGGTCCCAAAGGAGATGGTCATTATCCATGGAGCTGTCCAGTGACCCACACTCGGGAGAAAATTTATGCCATCTGTTCAGACTATGCCTTTCTCAACCAGGCGACCTCAATCTGCAAAACTCCAAATCCAACCCGCTCTTCTTGCCTCCCCAATAGTACCTCTTTATCTGCTGGAAATAATTCCTCAAGATACATTGGCATCCCGACCAGTACATCGGAAATCATCTACAATGAAGAAAATAGCTTGGAAAACTTATCCAACAGCCTGGGCAAGCTACCTCTTGCGTGGGAAATTGACAAATCTGAATTTGATGGAGTGACCACGAATTTGAAACACAAATCAGGTAAGGAAGGAGCCATGATGTTCTCACGTGAAAATAAGGAGAAGACAAGCAATATATCTTGTTTAAACTCGCCTTCAAACAGATTTTCTTTTTATGATACCAGACAAGGCACATTGCTCTCATGTTGTTTGTCGATATAGTTAAAAACATAACCTTGGGCCTAGGACATTTAGTTCACTAATGTGTTGCCACTGGAAACTTCAAACATAACCTTTGCATTTTGAGAGCTTTGAACAAATCTAAGAGTGCTGTAAAGCACAAGTATTGTAGTTAAGTACTCAGTAGTTTAGTAATGGTTAATGATGCGGCTAGAATAACATACTACTTCATGGCTTTGCAGTGACATGAATCATATTTCTCAATTAAATAGCTAATTTTGGGGCTTCCCTGGTGGCGCAGTGGTTAAGAATCCGCCTGCCAATGCAAGGGACATGGGTTTGAGCCCTGGTCCGGGAAGATCCCACATGCTGCGGTGCAACTAAGCCCGTGCGCCACAGCTACTGAGCCTGCGCTCTAGAGCCCATGAGCCACAACTACTGAGCCCACGTGCCACAACTACTGAAGCCCGCGTGCCTAGAGCTTGTGCTCCACAACAAGAGAAGCCACAGCAATGAGAAGCCCGTGCACCGCAACCTAGAGTAGCCCCTGCTCTCGGCAACTAGAGAAAGCCCCTGCGCAGCAATGAAGACCCAACGCAGCCAAAATAAATAAATAAATAAAATTGAAAAAATATCTAGTTTTCTTTTTTTTTTTTTGTGGTACGCGGGCCTCTCACCGCCGTGGCCTCTCCCACTGCAGAGCACAGGCTCCGGACGCGCAAGCTCAGCAGCCATGGCTCACGGGCCCAGCCTCTCCGGCGGCATTTGGGATCCTCTCGGACCGGGGCACGACCCCGCGGCTCCTGCATCGGCAGGCAGACTCTCAACCACTGCGCCACCAGGGAAGCCCATAGTTTTCTTTTTTACTACATAACATTTTGGCTTTTCTGTTGTTAAAAAATTTTGAACACTCAGCAGGGTCTCCAGGTACCACTGAGTAGGTTGTGCACTACCCAGTTTAAGAGGGTGCAGTGTACAACCTTCACAATTACAGTGTGGTGGTTCTGGAGCAGATACTAATGCTCTTCACTTTTTTCTTTTGAACTCACAGTAAGACAGGAATTTTGTGAGGTAGGTACTGTTGTCTTCATTTTATGGGTGAAGAAATGGAGGCATAGAGGGGATACATTGCTTGGGCACAGCTGCACAGCTAGAAAGAGGCAGAAGTCAGGTTTGTACTTTACTTCTAGGCTTCTCTGATCGTTTTGTAAAACCTCTGTCTACTCATTCATTTGCAAAATCAACTTGTTTTACAGAATATTATGTAAATTTGTAATTCTCGCGGTGTCCGGGGATTTCACTTTGTGTCTCTATTTGTGGGTGATCAGTCTATAATTCTTTTTTCATAATGTCTGTGCAGGTCTCCTAAGACATGTTTGGAAGTGTTCTCTCTTCCTGGTTTTTGAGGGGTTTTCAGAGGGGTATTAAAAATCTCCAATTATGATTATGGAGTTGTCTTGATTCCCATCAATTCTGCCAAAGTTTAGTTTGTCTGTTTCATCTACGTTATCAAGGTGTTGACGTAAAGTTGTTTCTAACAGTCTGTTTTCTCCCTCTAACACCTGTAGGGTCTTTAGTGATAACTCCTTTTTCATACCTGATGCTGGTAGTTTATGTTCTTTTTTTCCTAGCTGGGCAGTTTATCAGTTTTGTTTGTCTTTTGCAAACAATCAGCTTTAGCTTGCTAATTTTCTGAATTGTCTGTTTTCTATTTCATTGATTTATGATCTTTATTATTTCATTCCTCCTACTTACTTTGGGTTTATTTGTTCTTCATTTTCTAACCTCTTGATTCAAGACTTTTCTACCGAAGTATTTAATGCTCTAAATTGCTCACTCAGTACTGTTTTAGCTGCAGTCCACAAATTTTAATACACTTTATTTTTATTGTCATTTAATTTGAAGTGTTTTCTAATTTCCTTTGTTATTTCTTCTTTGATACATGATTGTTTAGAAGTATGCTATGTTATCTCCAGGTATTTAGGGTTTTTCTAAGTACTGATTTCTAATTTAGTTCCAGAGGACATATGACCTCAGTCTTTTTTTATTTTTTAATTGAAGTATAGTTAATTTACAATGTGGTGTTAGTTTCAGGTGTACAGCACAGTGATTCAGATATATATATATATATATATATATATAAAATCTGAATATATATATATATATATATATATATTCTTTTTCAGATTCTTTTCCCTTATAGGTTATTACAAAGTATTGGGTATAGCTCCCTGTGCTAAGCTCACAGTCTTCTTAAATGTACTGAGACTTGTTTCCCGAGGCAGCATATGGTCTCTGTTGCTGGATGTTCCCCGTACACCTGAAAAGAAGGTGCATTCTGGAGTTGTGGGGTGTAGTGTTCTGAAGATATTTACTGGATCAAAGTGTTTGAAAATGTTGCTCATATTTTCTATGTTGCTACTTAATTTTTGTCTTGTTCTAACAATCGCTGAAAATGGGGTGTTAAAAGTCTCCAACTATGATTGTGGAGCTGTCTTTTCTCCATCTAATTGTGTTGATTTTTGTTTCATGTAATCTGAAGCCTTGTTATAAGGTGCACACACATTTATGATTTTTATTTCTTCTTGAATTAATCCTTTTCTCATTATGAAACATCCCACATTATTCCTGGCAATATTTCTTCTTCTGAAAGCTACTTTGTTTGATATTAATATAGCTATTCCAGCTTTCTTTTGACTAATGTTTGCATGGTCTTTTTCTGTCTGTTTATTTTCTTTTTTAAAAATTTATTTATTTAATTTATTTATTATTTTCGGCTGTGTTGGGTCTTCGTTGCTGCGCGTGGGCTTTCTCTAGTTGCGGTGAGCGGGGGCTACTCTTCGTTGCGGTGCGCGGGCTTCTCATTGCGGTGGCTTCTCTTGTGGAGCACGGGCTCTAGGCACGTGGGCTTAAGTAGCTGTGGCTTGTGGGCTCAGTAGTTGTGACTCGCGGGTTCTAGAGTGCAGGCTCCGTAGTTGTGGCTCACGGGCCTAGCTGCTCCGTGGCATGTGGGATCTTCCCGGACCAGGGCTTGAACCCGTGTCCCCTGCATTGGCAGGAGGATTCTTAACCCCTGCGCCACCAGGGAAGCGCTGTCCGTTTATTTTCAACCCGTGTCTTTTTATATTTAAAGTTTGTCTCTGAAAGATAGCTGTCAAGTATATTCAGTGAATCGTTTATTTCAGATATTGTTTACTTTAGTTCTAGAATTTACATTTAAAAAATAGTTTCTTGGGTTTGCTATCTTTTCATTCATTGCTAGAGCACCTTGTCCATCTCATAGAGCATAGTTATAATATGCACTTTAAAATCTTAACCTGCTGGTCATGTCAGAGTTGGTCTTATCTTTTTTCTTGAGAATGTGTCACATATTTCAGTTTTCTCACGTGTTCAGTACTTTTGGATTGTATTCAGGATGGTGGAAATGTTATGGTGATTTTGGATTCTGATATAGTCCCCCAAAGAGTGTTTTATTTGTTTGTTTGTTTTTAAAATTTTAGCAGCAATTAATTTGGTTGGACTAAAGCTGCAAATTCTGTCCTCTGAGGACATCTCAAATCTCAGTTCAATTCTTTTAGCCTTAGCTGTACTGTTTGGGCTCTGCTCTGTGCATGCACAGTTCAAGGGTCAGCCTAAGATTTGGGTCAAATTTGGCTTCTTCCCTTCTCTGGCCCTCTTATTTCTGGGATCCCCCCAACCTCACGTTCTAATGACGGTAATTGCCTGGAACTCTGTCCTGTGGTTATTTAAGTCAAAAAGATGGTGAGTATTCTATTTTTATTTGCTATCCTGGTACCTTTCTCTAAAAGCCAGTCTGGTGGATATGTGTGTGTGTGTGTGTGTGTGTGTGTGTGTGTGTGTGTGTGTGTGTGTGTATTTTTGGTTTGGGAGCTAAATGGGTATGTTGTGAGCAGGGTGAGGGATGGAAGAAGGAATATGGCAATAACAAGGGGCAGTGGACAGTGGTTACTGGAGTTGACGTGATGGGGAGATAGAAATGTTCAGGCATTGCTCTTTTATGCTCCGCTCTCAAATGTGGCTTCCACTTTGACAGAGCTTCCTTCCTCAGATTGACTGGAATTTTGCCTGTGGGACCAGCTCTCTCTTCGGCAGTGTGGGGATGTCATGAAGGATGTTCATATAGACCATATATACTTTTTTTTTATCCCAGGGTTCATGGGAGTAAGCTAGGAGAGAACAGAGGGCAGGCTCAGGTGAGTCTTTGAGGACTGTAGGTGGGTACAGATGACCCTATGAGCTGCTGAGGTCACAGGTTACCATGCTTCATTAGCCACTAAAAATCTAAGTGGCTGGAAAACTCCTTAGGGAATTAAGTCATTATTGGACAGTGAAGACATCTCAAGAAATGGTGGAAAGTAGATTTTCCATCTTCTCACTCACTAAGATTTATTTTATTAGTGAAAGAAATTTGTCAGAATGAGATTTTGCTCATGTTTGCCAGGGGTTGTTCAGCTCTGGGATAAAATTTGCGTTTCTGTGAAGACTTATGAAGAATAACTAAAGGGCAGGGGGAAAATGTCTTTGTTTCTTGATTTTTCTAGTGTTCAATATTACGCCATTTTACAAAAATTAGAGAAATTCCCTGTGTAACAACAGTTTCTGAGGTCCAGCTGGGTTTTTTTTTTAACGTATTTTTAAAAGTTGGAGTATAGTTGATTTACTATGTCATGCTAGTTTCAGGCATACAGCACAGTGATTCAGTTATGCATATGTGTGTATATATATATATATACTTTTTTTCAGATTCTTTTCCCTTAATAGGTTATTACAAAATAATAAATATAGTTCCATGTGCTATACAGTAAGTCCTTGTTGGTTCCAGCTGGTTTTGGGCGCTAAATTGTTTCATTGTAGAATGAATAAAATGGATCCTTTTCCATG